GTCCCTTCCAACCCTCATTTTCTATGCTTCTATGACCGAGGTGGATAATCCAGTCAGTCCTTTCCAGTCTCACTGAAAGAGCACTGAAAAGATGTTGACAGGTGCTGCACTAGCACTGACACTGCTTTGCACAACTGAGGCTAGTGGAAACAGGTGCTGAATGCTAGCTCCATCTCTGCACCAGCCTGCAAAGCTGGAGAATCTCTGCCAGCTCAGCTCCCCGCAGCGCAGATCAGAGCAGCCCTACAAGGATTTTGTAGGAATAGTTCATCTGCCGAGGATGGAAGCCCACAGAGAGATGATTTTGTGATGAAGCAATCGCTCCTGAAGGAGATTGCAGGATGATCCTCCCATGAGATTAATTTGTGGAGAGAGAATGATGAACGTCTGAGGAAAGGGGCAAGCTTCATCCTAACATGCAATCCCTTTAGCAAGCAGAATCAGCTTTGTATATAAATTATGTAAATGAAATTATCTGAGGCATCTTTGGCTGCTTTGGTTTGAGAGAGCAGCTTCTGGAAAGGATCAAGCTGGAGGTTGCAGATTTACAAAACAGTTTCTTGACCAATTTTAAATTTGAAAGCATTATTAGCCTTCTCATGCCATTGTCCAGTAGAGGGAAGCTGGGACTTAGGAGGCAAACAGCAGCTAAATGGAAATTTGCAGTGAAACCAGCCCCGGTCACTGGTGGTATTGCTTCCCAGTATCTTACTTCAGCGAAGAAGGGGTTTCGGTTTTATATCTTAAAGAGAGAAAAGGAAAGAGGAAGAGAGAAGGGAAGAGAAGACAAAGAACTGGAAAACAGAAAACAATTAGAGCCGAGAGCCAAAATATGGACCCTGGAATCCGCACTGGGGCAGGCAATTATTGTGGGCGGAGGGCCGCTTACTGAGCTTTGGCAAGCCATCGAGGGCCGCATGAGAGGCAGACAGGGGCAGATAAATATTAATTTTCTAAATTTTTTAGGGGCCCCGCAGGCTGCATAGAATGGCCTGGCAGGCCACATCCTGCCCACCCCGATCCACACCCTGCTTTTGGGTTCATCCAAAACCAAAAGTGTCTGTTGACACGCTAAAGCACATGCAAGTTGAGGACAAGATAGTAGAGGTCCCATACAGAAAGCAAGGCCTTTCCAGCATCATATCTAAACCAGCTTGAACACGGTCTCTTCACCATTTTCCTAGTTAAAAGGGTATCAGCGTGACCTTGAAGGAAGAGCAGCAGGATAAAGGACATCTTCCGATGGGAGAGAAAGCAGTTCCATTAGCTTACCGGTGATGACCAAGCCTGCAAATTAAAAAGCCCTCTGGTTTCCCTGGTGCATTCAATAGCTGTACAGAATTATTCTGATCTCTGAGAATCTTCTACAGAACAAGGGTACGAGCCTGTGGCTGCAAACACCCTCCAAAGTGAGAGAGGGGTCCTGGTGTGGAAAGTGGGGGAATGGTATGGAAGAAGTTCAGCAACACTGTTATAGGGGGTCCTCATGACATCAGTGTCTTCAGGATTAGTCTAGCATGTAGAAACAGACTATTAATACTCCAGTTACCCCATAGTCAGAGCCACTTTCATGCAAGAGATGTAAGGAGCTCTGCAATGATCTCATTTTTCATTTGAAAGAGGCCAGGGAGGTGGAAAGATCTGGGATTTTAGCAGTAGGCAAAACATGACACCACGAACATTGATTTGTATTCAAACCGTGGGACTGTATTAATAAGGGGAAACAGATTTGGGGGCTGTATTAATGGAACTCAGTACCCGAGGCATCTCTGGCACCTGTTTTTCTACCACGTGATGGAGAGCAGCTAATTTGTGGATGGACTTGCACAGAACCCAGTGACGGCTGTGGCATGTTGAGTGGCTTCCCACAGCAAGCTGAGGGAATAGTAGAGATGCTGGAGGGTAGGGCTCAGATTCAGAGTGGCCTGGACAAAGTGGAGGATTGGGCCAAAAGAAATCTCATGAGGGTCAACAAGGACAAATGCAATGTCCTACAATCCCATGCATCGGTGCCGGCTGGGGACCGACTGGCTGGGCAGAAGCTCTGCAAAGAAGGAACTGGGGGTGACAATGGACAATAAGCTGAATAGGAGCCAGCAGTGTGTCCTTGTTGCCAAGAAGGCTAACGGCATCCTGGGCTGCATTGGTAGGAGTGTTGCCAGTAGGTTAAGGGAAGTGATTCTTCCCCCTCTATTCACCACTGGTGAGGCCACATCTGGAGCCCTGTGTCCAGTTTTGGGCCCCCCACTACAGAAGAGATGTGGACAAATTGGAAAGAGTCCACCGGAGGTCAACAAAAATGGTTCAGGGGCTGGGGCATGTGACTTATAAGGAGAGGCTGAGGAAGCTGGGCTTATTTAGTCTGCAGAAGAGAAAAACTGAGGGGGGATTTAATAGCAGCCTTCAAGTACCTGAAAGGGGGGGTTGAAAGAGGACGGAGCTGGACGGTTCCTAGTGGTGGTAGATGACGGCACATGGAGCAATGGACTCAAGCTGCAGCAAGGGAGCTTTAGGTTGGATATTAGGAAGCATTTTCTCACTAGGAGGGTAGTAAAACACTAAGACAGGCTACCCAGAGAGGTGGTGGACTCTCCATCCTTGGAGGTTTTCAGGACCCGGGTAGACAAAGCTTTGGCTGGGATGATCTAGTTGGGGCTGGTCCTGCTTTGAGCAGGGGTTGGACTAGATGTGACCTCCTGAGGGCCCTTCCAACCATGACTTTCTATCATTCAACTGCAGGATTGGAGCCTTTATTTTCCTGCACTACAGAGCAGGCTTTCTGAGACAATCTAACTGCAATCCCAGATCTCACTCATCTGCAGGGTATGGGATGTTCACAAATTAGGAATAACAGAAGGTTTCCAGAGGGAAACATTAGCAGATTGTATCAAACAACACTGTAAAATGGTTTACCTTCATGCCTGGTTTTCCATATGCCCGTTATGCTTTGATGAGAGAACCACTTCTGCAATTCTGTGCTTTTGAGATCCCCCAGAGATTGTGGGATAGTAGCAGCAGCTCTTGCTGCAGCCCTTTGCAATGCTCCTCATCCTGGATTTGGCAAGACTTCATTAAAACGCACCAACACAGGAACGATTTTGTTCTCCTACGGAGTTTGCCCCTGTGCATCTCAAAGGGCTTTGCAGAGAAGAACAGAATATCAGTGTCCATTTTAGAGCAGGCAAACAGAGGAGAAGTGACTTCCCAGTTTCACCCTGCAGACCCACAGCAGAGCCAAGTCTCCAGGCTAATTCACTAACCACTAAGCATCGCTGCTTCCTTGTCAGCTGGCTAGTCCTGCCTGCTAGCTGGAGGAAGTGAATCAAGCCTTCCTCTCCCCACTGCTAGGAGCACGTCAGGCAGAATCAGCATTGTGAGCTGCCGAATGGGGAAGCTTTTTATATGTGCCTTTGTGCAGAAACACAATTCAGTCCACTGCTGTCCAGAAATACATCCCTAATTCTACTCCTGCCAGGGATCCCCCCGGGGGCTACTCCCACTGGTAAAGGTAAGGGTGATCTAGTACAAGCACTGTTAGGAGTAGGTTAGTGTACGGTTCTCCCCCAAGCAACAGGCACCCCACAAGTACTTCTCCTACAGGCCTGGAAACATTTCCCCCTTCACCCAAGAGCTATTCCCCTCTAGATCAAGGAAACTGCCACAAGCTGCTTTCAGTTGGCCACTGCTCTCTGCTTCACCTCAAATCTTGTCTTGGAGGTTTGTAAACAGGCAATCTGCTTTCCCCCCAGCTCTACCCAAGCAGCTCAGCCAGCTACCAGATCCCTGCAACCTTTCCCAAACACCATCTTCCAAATAATTAATCAAAACAGTCCTGCTCAAAGCATTTAATTTAGGGTGGAGTGATATGAATTCTCTCATAATAAAAATAAAGTCCTGTGGAGCAACTCACGGATGCTTATTAGTACAGCCACTTGACTATGCAGTCAACCATACAGGGAAACTAATAAGAACTGATGGGAAAAATACTTGATGAGGATTTACCTGTTTCAGTGAAGGATACAAGGTCTAATGATTGGATTAATCTGCCATTTCTATGATAAAAATGTATAATTAAAAACAAATTGTGTGGAAAATAACACCACCAACCCTCTCCAAAGTTTTTCATCTTTACTGCTGTTGGTCATAGCAGCTTGCACTATGCCTTACTTGCTTTCACTCCAGCGGGGAGATGCAGCAGGGATACACCCAGTCTTTCCAACTGTTGCTCATTTGCAAAGAAGAGCCCTGGTGTTGGATTAATTATCAGTGTCTGGTACTCTAATGAGGAAGGATTTTTGCACAGTGCCCCCCTCTAAGACTCACCTGTAAAGTTCACTTAGTGGAAAGTGCTCTGTAAACACTAAATATTAACATGGACCATAGAAAACCTTGCTCCGTATTTCGATCTCTTGCTCATCTTTTATAACAGTAGCTTGAGATAACCTCCATCTCCCTCATGCAGCTTGCTTCAGGGAAGCAAGCAGATAATAGCACCTTCCAGAAACAAAAAGCCCATCATAATCAGCAGGTTTCTGGCCTCTGGAAAGTCACAGCAGAAAGGCCTCTGGAGATTCCCCACAGCCATTTTCAATGAAAGGAAACAATGGGGTTGGGAAGGTTTAATTTACCTTGATTTAAGGGCTTAATGTATACAACCTAGAAAAGGGGAAATGCCCATTGCCACTACAGCTCTTTCCTTATACTGCCAGCTAGTGCGATGGTCTTGCACTAGTTTGCACCATACCTCTGATAGGATCCCTGCAGAGGGGGCAACGCCCTGGTGGAAGCCAGAGTTGCAGACTGCATTGCCTCTGTGCATCTCTCTAATGCAAGCCAGCTGCAGCCAACAGAGTAGCTGCTGCCCTGGGCAAGACATCAGTGAACCAATAGGATCCCAGAAGATTCCCTTGGATACTCCAATCAGGTGCAGAGACAGGATAGTGGGGTGGAGCTAGAACCCCCTTAAATAGGCTGTGTGGCATGCTAGGGTATGCTATCCAGCTGGCAGGGAATCTGAGTGGTTCTGTTTTTGTCTTCACTCTCCTAGGTAACCTACAATGGTTGAAGAAGAGATTGCAGCGCTGGTGGTTGACAATGGCTCTGGTATGTGTAAAGCTGGCTTTGCAGGGGATGATGCTCCCCGGGCTGTGTTCCCTTCCATCGTGGGGCGACCCAGGCACCAGGGGGTCATGGTGGGGATGGGCCACAAGGACAGCTATGTGGGAGATGAAGCCCAGAGCAAGCGAGGCATTCTGACCCTGAAGTATCCCATTGAGCATGGGATTGTCACCAACTGGGATGACATGGAGAAGATCTGGCATCATACCTTCTATAATGAGCTTCGTGTGGCCCCTGAGGAGCACCCAATCCTGCTTACAGAGGCTCCCCTGAACCCAAAAGCTAACAGGGAGAAGATGACTCAGATTATGTTTGAGACCTTCAATGCCCCAGCTATGTATGTGGCTATCCAGGCTGTGTTGTCCCTGTATGCCTCTGGCCGTACCACTGGCATTGTCATGGACTCTGGGGATGGCGTCACCCACACCGTGCCTATCTACGAGGGCTATGCCTTGCCACATGCCATCCTGCGTCTGGACTTGGCAGGCCGTGACCTGACTGACTACCTCATGAAGATCCTGACGGAGAGAGGCTATAGCTTCACCACCACAGCTGAGAGGGAGATTGTGAGGGACATCAAGGAAAAGCTGTGCTATGTGGCTATGGACTTTGATGTGGAGATGACCACAGCTGCATCCTCTTGCTCCCTAGAGAGGAGCTATGAGCTGCCTGATGGCCAAGTCATCACTATTGGGAATGAGCGGTTCAGGTGTCCAGAGGCCATGTTCCAGCCCTCCTTTCTAGGCATGGAGTCCTGTGGCATCCACGAGACCACTTTCAACTCCATCATGAAGTGTGACGTGGACATCCGAAAAGACCTGTACGCCAACACAGTGCTGTCTGGGGGCACCACCATGTACCCGGGCATCGCTGACCGCATGAGGAAGGAGATCTGCACCTTGGCACCCGCCACCATGAAAATCAAGATAGTTGCCCCACCAGAGCGTAAATATTCAGTCTGGATTGGAGGATCGATCCTGGCTTCTCTGTCCACCTTCCAGCAGATGTGGATCAGCAAGGAGGAGTATGATGAAGCTGGCCCTGCTATTGTCCACCGTAAATGCTTCTAAATAAGCTGCCTAAAAATATATCTACAACACATGTCGTCTAAAGACAATCCTTTGTCCTCAGCTGCTGAGACTAGTAGTGGAGCTATCTGGATGTTGGCTTCATAGAACCCAGTTCAGGGTCCTGCTTGTGCTGTCTACTACCTGGGACAACTTATGTACCCTAAGTAAGGGGAAGGGGCTACAGTCTGGTGGCTCTTTGGGTATCAAAAAGCAGCCATGGGGGTGGAGGGTAGATATTCTAACTTTTTCCTCTTTAAACTATGAAAGGCTCCCAAGTCTTGAGCTGGGTTTCAGGTGTCTGGGGAGGGTTTATAGCTTGCACAGAGAAGCACTGGCTTGTCTCAGTGAAGTTCCATGGAACTGAAGAGGTAAGCATCCAGGATGCTGAGTGGGATGGGGAGGGAAAACCTAGGGAGGCTCAGGGTGACTTTGGCTGTGGCCTGAGTCCCATGTCATACCCTTGGGCATTGTATGCTATGCTGTGATGATTCCAGCAACAAGGAAATGGCTCTTGCATAGCTGAGCCCCTTATTCTCCTGTTAACTTCTCCAAGGGGAGGAGTGTTGTAGCCAACTTGTAGCTACCCTCTTCTTGGTCCTAAACAACCCCACCACCCCATGCCTACTACTGTAAATCTAAGTGGCAGAGCTGCCTCAGTAGTTGAATACCAGTTTTTAGGCCCCCTCTCCTCTCCTACTGATGGGGATCAGCCGGTGAGGTCACTGCATGCATCTGAACAGAAGACCACCATTAATCTCAATTTTTGTCAGGCTCTTATTTGAGGACAGTTGAGAACATCCACAGATGAGAAGCCCATTTCTACTTGTGTATTAATCATGTAATCATCCTGTAAATGCCTGCTGGTGGGAATGAAATTTGTTGCTGTTTAGCCATTAAACATTGTTTAACTTCTTCTTTCTTCACACTTCCCATGTGGCTGGTCTAAAAGCGTTCAGTCCCTCTAGGTCTACAAAACTAACCTGCCTGCTGTGAACCATGCCCCTTATCTTTTTCAGGGGAAAACTGATGGATCCATAGTGATCCCTTTCAAATACAGGAGTCCTGTCAAACCTGTATTGGAACCACTTCCAGGAATAAAAATTCTGCTGGCTACTAAAGCTTGAGCACATAACTTGCAGTGGTCTCCCTAGAAGGAGCCAAATAGCATGATGGGGGTGGGGAACTGCATCACAACGTAACCTCTCTGAATGGGCTGGCTTTCATGTTTAGGACTGTAGTCTAGGAAGCTCCTAATCCCAGACCCAACCTAGACTTCAATGAATAGGGCCAGGGCCACTATCCTTGTAACCAATAACATGTATATTGGTACAATGCTGAGTACTCTCTGGACAGTACTCTGGCTGGGAACAGGAGAGAGACCTCAGCAGCTCTTGACTAAAACTTGGCCTTCTTGACTGCCTTCCTGCTTGGCTGCAGGCACAACTAAGTAATGGTCCCCTAGAAACTTCTTGCATTCAGTAACTTCCCTATGCAAAGGCACTTCACCTGCTTACTTGGAGTAAGTTTAGTGATGGAGATTGGATCCAGTCACAAAACTGAATGGATGAAGTATGTCATGAGACCTCATCAAGACGGGCAGCTTTGTGCTTCCTGACTGTCATTTCACTTCTCTCTTAGCTCTAAAAAGCATCTGGCCTTGACTGGTCCTACTGATAACAGCACAATGTTTGGGGAGGCAAGCAGCCCAATTGAATCCAGCAGAGCAAAGACTCACTTGGTAACCATGTGTGTGTGGTAAAAAAAAACTTTGATGTGAAGGTGGTGTGGGAAAGGAAAGGAACAAATTTTGCCTACTGATCTATTAATTGTACCCAAAGAAACTCTGCCTCCTCTCTAGCTCATTAGTGTGAAGTACAGCCTATTCCTGTATCACTCCTGCCCCAGTTGGCTTTACAACCCTGTATGTTCAGGTTGTTCTCCACCTCCACATTGAGAAGGAAAAAATCTGTCTGTGTAGACCTGGATGTCTGTCTGGCTTTCAAAGCAATGTTAAACTTCTTCCATAGCATGGAGAATTCCAGCTGAATGGAAGTCATAGTATTGCTAGTATCCCTGCAGCTTTCTAAGCTGCTTGTATTGATCTTTCATGGGTGAAAAATGTCATGCTTTTAATCCAACAACTAGTCAACTTTTATGTGCTGTTTCTAGTACTCTTACCTTGATACTATAATACTCTCAATCTGAAAGAACTAGGTAAAAAGAAAGGTTTCCCACTTTAAGAATCAGAATCTTCCAGTAGCATAACCAGAATGCTTCAATAACTATTTACTAGCCACTATTTTTTATGAACTAAAGAGTAGTGAGCCTGCACCCATAGGCCGATTGTGACTCGGCACAAACTCCCCTGCAGGCACGGATGATGGCAATGTAAATAGTAGCAAAGGAGACTCTATGCCCTCCCCTCCCTCTTCCCCACACAGTACAGATGGATGCACATCCAGTGTTTGATTGGAGAAAAAAGAAAGAACCTAGAGAGCCCTCACTTACCTTCATCTTCCCTATGTATTGTGACTGAAAGAGTTTTCCTAGTGCTTGCCTTTACTGATGTACTAGCTTAAAAAAAAATGCATAGTAGCTTGCTGTAAGCCAGTGTAGTTTTATGGTGGAATAAACCCAGGGAGATCAGCCATAGGTAGCACATATAGTGCTCTTGCTGAAGGGACCTCTAAGTTAAACTGCAGTACCTATTTAAAAAAAAAAAAAAAAAAAATCCTAGCCAAGATTGCTAGCAAGATGCATTTCATGTCAGTTGCCCCACTTGGGAGACATGTAAAGAAACCATAACAACCTTCATGGCTATGAAGGCAAAGCTTCCTACACTGTAGGATACTTCCCACCGCTATGTAAGTTGAGAAGAATCCTATTGTTTCATAAGGCCAATCAGTGCAAAAAGAATAAGGCCTGAAAATGCATTATTCATAGAGACGCTTAAATATTTCAGTGAGAAGAAAAATATTCTGATTTATTATCTTTGCTCCATCCCTTAACATGAATATTTGTGCTTTGAGAGGGCAAAAGCAGAGTAGCCTCACTCCATATACTGGATCTCTCTTAATGTGTTGCAGAAACTCATGTTGAGATTTTTGTTACCCACAGTTAGACCATCTGGAGGGAGAGTTAAGTTGTCTCCTTGTTTCAAGGAGGACTTTATTCTTCCCTTATGTGTGGTGGGAGACTGGGCAGAGCTGATGGATGGCTTGGTTTAAACTGCAATAGTTTATGCCCTGACTTTTTTCCAAGGCACCAAGTAAAGGAGAGCGTACAAAAGACAGATGTGAAAAGGTGGTCTCTTCTGTCCATCCACATGCACAAAGCTCACTAGGTGTCTTTCTTTGAGAGTTTCTCTTCTCTTGGCAAGCTACCTGATCTGTAGAAACATAGCAGCTGAAATTTGTTAGCGCTCACACCAGCAGCATCAGGCTGCATGATAATCATGTATTACAATATTTGAAGGAATCCAGTCAGAACACCAAGAGGAAATGACAAGTCAGCTAGTTAGAAAAACCTGCCTGCTGAGCTGAGTGAGGCATAAGTTCTACCCTGCAGTGGCACAATTGTCATGTTTAATTGTATTAACTGTAATGAGGGAGAGGGCTGGTTCTGGTGTATAGATACACTGCTGCCATCAGCTGGTAAAAGGCAAACATGAATGGGAGGAATTACCTTTCTCTAGTGCACAGAAGAGTCGCAAGAGGATATGCTGAAAGCACGCTGCAGCCTGATCTGCATATGGTGCCATTGTTCTGCCATCTTCAAGGTGCAGAATAACCACAGTAGAAGAAGTACAACAAATGAGCTATTTTGATGTAGCAGAAAGCTGGACATACTATACGTATATTTAAAATGCAAAGGAATGCAAAGTAATGCAATGTGAATCAGGCCTTTTGAGTTCAGTAGGGCACCAAATACTAGTCACTAAAGCAATGCATTCACATACTGCTGAAATATTACTTAGGCAGTGCTAGAGGTGTCTGCTGCATCTACGTATACCCAAGACCCAGCCCTGGGAAACACTCAGTCTATTTCCATGTCATAAAGCATAGGTCTTCCTATAGAGATTTCCTAGGTACTGTGCTGTCTAATGCCACCACTCCTTTCCCCTCTTTTGCAACAGAGACCAATATAACTAGCCAGGGAGGGTCCAAGCCCATGAGTGCCATTAGGACTTGTCAGTGCTAGAACCATGTGGGCATAGAGAAGTCTAGGATTTTGGAAAGGGGGTGCAGACAATGTAGTGAATCTTCTCATACAACACACTTTCTCCAGTTAAAGAGAAACTAGAAACTTTACTAATATTCTATTGGGCTACTTCTGTATTATTCAGTTTAAAATAAAAGCACAAACAAGTATAGCTACTGGAGTGTGCGCTACTTTGCTGGATTATCTATTAAATTAAAAAAAAACACAATAAACTAGGCAAAAATAGTTGAAGGATATGGGGTCATTACTCCTGTAGTCATTACAATTAAAATATACATCTCTTTTAGATCAAGTGTCTTGGCAGTGCCTCTAATACTTCTCTGTCACTCATGTCTACATCTGAATTAATATTGCCATCTCTGAGTTAAGGTTTTTAGCTAGAGCTAAACAGTCTGCAGGGCTGTGAAAGAGGAGAACAACATTACCAGGAATGGTTAACAGGCAGCACAATTGCAGAAGAAAGGAACAATGAAGCATCAAGACCCTTAAAAAGGAGGGATGGTCATTAACACCTGTGGAGTAGAGAGATTAACAGGAATCTGGGAGCTGACAATAAACCATGGAGTAACTGCCCTCACTACTGCCTGAATAGAAAGGCCACTGCCTGTCCCAGGCAGTTGGTTTAAAAGTTTGGGTGGAGCAGGGATCTGGATCTGTTCCTGTGTGTGGGTGTTTTGTGCTGTGCAAGAGGAGATATGGTCTGCACTCTTTCTCTCTCCAAATTTGCAAGATCTTCTAAGTGGTTTCCCCAAAGGGACACTCCTTCTTGGCAGTGGCTTCTGTTGTGGAAGGCAATGTGTACAAATATGCAGAAGGAGGTGGTTGTGTGTTTAGGAGGGAAGGGAAAACTAAGAGAACACTTCAGCTGCACCCTTGCTCCGTTTCCCAAACCAAATGTTGGCCCTTTCAAGCAGGCTTGCTTCTCCCTCCATCTCCCAAGTCCTCCTTCCTAGGCCCTAATAGGACTCCCTCCCCTTCTCCCTCCTGATTAAATGAGCACTTCCAACACAACACAGGGGCCTAAAAGGGATGTGAGAAAACAAATGTCAAATCTGATCACATAGTTCTTCATCATCTCCCTCAGCTCTAGGAGGAGGATTTGGATGGAACAAGAAGGGAAACTTCACATAGTTTGGCAAACACTTCAAAGCTTACACAAACCAAGTCTTCAAAACTTTTGCATGCCATCCCTCTTCCCCCCTTTTCCTCGAAACAGTCTGGGGGATAACTGGATACCCCACAACTGGACTCATCCTGAGCTCAACACAGATTCTGAATGCCTGGGTACTACTCTATTGGGAATCACTAGCCACTCAAGTGGCAGTCCTCACGGTGAGAATCCCTTAATGTTTTCGTTTTCTTATTTAGTTCTCAAATCTCTCTGCTTGGATTAAAGTTTCTGTCACTAGCTTCCTGAGAGAGCTTATATGAATTTAGTGCAAACCACAATTAAAAGTTTGACTGACCACAGTGCTGTGCTTTTTGCATGCAGCAATTACTAAAACAAACCCCAAAAAACAAAAACTTGCAAAACTTTCTTCTTTGAAATTTGTCGTCCTAATGAGGAGAGATGTGGAGTCTTGAATACCTATGAATTAATCACATTAATTTGTTAGAGTCATTGACAAAAGCTGTACTTCAACAGTTATTCTGAGGTTGTATGTACAAAATAGAGAGTACTGGAATGAGTTTCTTGTTTGAAATCAGAGTCTCTGTTTATCCATGCAGGTCTTACTCTCAAGGTATTTTTTTTTTTATCTATTGGAAGGTACTTTTGTGACTTCAGTCATCAGCCAAATGCTTTCTACCTTTTTGTGGAAACAGAGAATGCTGTTCTTATTTCTCTGATGGTAGGGTCATGATTTTGTAGCAACTATTTCAGAGCAAGAAAAAAGTCAAAGGCAGGGGCAAAAGGGCTGGAGGCTGATTTTTGCTGAATTAATTCC